TTTTAGTACATTGGTCTCAACTCAAGACTCAAATTTACAACAAATTTAATTTTAATTAAGAGTTTTAAGGTTTTGTTTACTGATGCTTCTTGTGCACATTTTTTACACCACACATTATTTAAAGAGAAAAATCAAAATCAAAATCAAAATGTTTTGACATTTAAAATATCATGACTTTGAACCTGGCCCTTCGGATCAAGTGGCTCTAGCCACGCTTGTAAGGTTCATGTCCTCCTCTCCCAGGGCAACGGTTCGAGCCGGCCTCATGACAAAATGTTCAAAAAAAAAAAAATATCATGACTTTTTATGAAATTATTTAAATATTCTTAATGAAATTATTTAAATATTCTTAATGAAATATTTATATATATATTGATTCATTAATGGTATTTCAATAATATCATAGGAAATCTAGTATTTTAATTATCAAGATAACGTAATTTTTCACAATTCCTTATTTAAAAATGTAAATTTACAATTCTTAATTAATTTTAGTTAATTTTATACTAAACTTTTATTAATTGTATTTAATATTTTATATGCTTTTATAATAGTAAGAAAACAAAACAAAAAATATATATTACCAATAGAGTATGGCATTGACCAATAGAACCTTAATGGTTTTGTTGAGACATACTAACGACGTACATAATTAATGTAGTAATAATTTATACTTCAACTCAAATTTTATAAAAAAAAATTAAAAAAAAAAAAGGAAAAAAGGAAAAAGAGTTGAGTTGATGCACCGAAATTATTGTGAGATGGCACAAACAGGAGTACTGGTGCCAACAAGCAACTTGCTGCTAAACCTTTTTTCTTTATTTATGATATCTTTCCGCAAATCTAGCAGAGATGGGCTCCAACCTCCAGTACCTAAACATGGCCCATTCATTTCATGAAACGATTTTATTTTTATTTTAACATCAGATATATAAAAACAAAATAATAGATCATAATGTAACCTAACCCTTGATTATCATAATGGTCAAGAATTACAAAGACAATATCATGGCTTACCCTAATACAAAAATTCATGCCTTTTTGAAAGAGGATATATTTGTTTCCCATATCCAATGGGGATCCTATACAGCCTTTGTTTTTTGTTTGAGAGAAAGGGAAGATTTCATTGGTACATGTTGGCAAGTGTTTCTCTTCTCTTTCAATGCCTCGGAAAACAGGCTGTATTATTACGATTTTTTTCCTAAAAATTTGATTTTTGTTTTGTCCATTTTCTCTTTCTTTTTTTTTTTTTTTTTTTTGGGGGGGGGGGGGGGGTGGTGGTCCTCTCTAAAACCTATTACCATATAAACTTTTCAATGCATGATAAATATGCTGCTAAAATGAGGATGCTGGTGAAAACACTCAATTGTCGGGTAGCATCGTTCGGGTAGATTTGAAAGTCTGCAGAGTCCATTTGCCATATCTTGAGTGAGGCAGTAACACTTGCATTAGTAGCATTGTTGAACAAAAATACTCTAGCTGCTTCATGGATTGCTTTTGTGGGGTATGTCCTAGCCGTGATGCAGGACCTCCCACCTTGAGCAAAGCTTTCAATTATTGAATGATCCACCTACATATGTACAGTGATTGTAAATACTATGTCATATATTTGCAGTAATTATATGAATCTGTTGATTGAAGCAATATCTATGAAACAAAGAAAAGAGTATGATCCAAGTACTAACCAATATTCTCATTGACAAATTTTCACCTTCTAGCACTGGAACGAAACTCCCATATATCTGTTTGTTAACATCAGTTGCCTCTGATGACCTGCAACGATAGGATGACAATGATCCCACCATGAATAAAAACTTCTGTTGAAATACTGCTCCTAGGGGATTCAAAACTGAGATTTCTCTAGATATCAATATTGTCTGGTATTGGATCAAAAGACAGTGTTAAGATTTAGGTGTACCTTGACTTATCAGTGCAGAAGAAAGTCTTAAAAAAACCATCTTTTGCTTTTACAATGTAGAAGTAAACTGGAGTTTGCTCAGCAAGGGTTTCATCTGCCAGAACCAAAACTCCAAACGGTCCTAGAGCACCACGCTCGGCAGCTCCACCACTCCCTTCACAACTGAAAGTCTCATTGCTCTCGACTGCTTTGTCCAAAGCCTCTTTATCTATCTCAAACTCTGCAATGATATCCAACTGTGTGGCTAATCCCACATCTAGTGGAATTGTTTCCCCTGCTTTCATCTCCACCCTGTCAAAATCCGTGTTGTTTACTCTTAAACTCTCCACCTCCTCCACTGGCCATTGAATTAGATTGGTACCTGTTTTCCTGTCCATCAAAATGGTCCTCGGAATACTCTGTAAAATGGTATCCACAAACGAAAACAATGTAAAAAAATCTCATGTTTGAACTCTCAGACAAAATGGCAAATATGGTCAAAAGAAAAAAACCTGAAGGGAAGCCCATCCCTTCTTCACATCTGCAGCTTCACTATCAGATTCTCCAATCCAACCCCACAAGATTCTCCTCTCTTTATCCTGATCATAGAATGTCTTGGCGGCGTAGAATATGCCGTAATCGTATCTAATTCCGATCCCGATGTCGATACTTGGATTGTTCGGAACCCATGTGTGGTTCTTGTCATAGTAAGTCCCAATAGCATAGTAGTCATTTCTGTCATCATCCAGGCTTGCCTTGATCACATGCTTCACTCCAGGGCCATTAGCCAATGTAGCCAAACCATTTGACTCTTCAGTTGATACGGGGAAAAGATCAACACACTCCCACATTCCGGTACCTGGGACGGCATGGAGAATCCCTTCAATTTCATAGGTTTTGAAGTCATTGGTGTCATAAACTAGAGCAATCCCTTCTCTACCCATCTTGGACCCAATTATAATCCGCCACTTCCCCTCAGCAGTTAACCATGCGGTTGTCGGGTCTCGGAAATCCTTGTCATTGATGCCTGGTGGCGGAACTAGAACAGGGTTATTAGAGTATTTGACCCAATTGATGAGCAAAGGATCAGAAGCATCGGCTGGATAAGCAAGATTTTGAACCTGGACAGATTCGTTGGTGCATCCAGTGTATAACATGATGACTTGGCCATCAGGGAGGATGGTAGCTGACCCTGTCCAGACGCCGTTGATGTCGTACCACTTATCAGAGACTATGGCTAAGGGTAAGTGCATCCAATTGATCAAGTCCTTTGATACAGCATGACCCCAGACAATGTTTCCCCACACTGCACCTTTTGGATTGTACTGATAGAAGAAGTGATACCATCCCTTGTAAAACATCGGACCATTGGGATCTGAAGCAAATATAGTCCAGATCGAGAATGATAAATAAAGGATGTTAGAAATGTAAAGAGAAACACACGTTATTTAAATACAAGGTACGCTACCCTACCTAATGCTAGTCAGATTAGCTCGTTTTAGATTGAATCCGCCTTTTTGTCACGAAGCCACATGTCAAAGTTTTCACAAATGAGAAAAATATAAAAGATAGAAGCTTCTGTTCCATTACCATTCATCCAGTTCTTCTCAGGCTGAAAATGGAAAGACGTTCTTTGCCATGACAGCATGCTAATGTCCCACGGATACGACCGCAAATTGTTTCCTACAAGGTTCGACTTTTCGGACACGCCAGCAGCCGGCCCACGCGACGCGTGCTGTGAACTTTTGGGTCCCCTGACGCGGTTTGCCTTCTCTGACACTCCGGTTGTTGGACCACGTGACACTAATGGATTAGTTTGAGGTTCCCTGGACAAAGCTTGGAAGGAGCCATTTTCATTGTCATGCACATGGCCATTACTTGATGCCTTGTAACCTATGAATGCCACAAACAAGCCTAATGCTAACAGCCCAATAACCACTATCAGGTGCTCTTTAAATGGTCTCCGACGCCGGATAACCGGAGCGTTAGTTTGGTGGGACTCATCAGGGAGATGAGTGTAGCCGGAGCTGGTGACAGGAAGGAATGGGTTTGTGTCCGCCATTGCTTTGTAATCAAGCAGATTAAAGAAATCTCCATGCCATATATAAAGGACAGAGGGAGCAGAGACTATTGCTCTGCTTCAGTTTCTCAATTCTATTTATGGGACTTCTTTTACATTTGGGGCACAGCAATTTTTTTGCTTCCTTTTTTTACTGCCAAACACATTTAGACTCGGTCATCTTTAGAAAAAAATAATCAAGATACATTCAATTTGATTACCATTAATGAACGATATTAGGTTTCAACGTAAAGCTGAAGATTGACATTAGTGGCAACCTTCCTAACTTTTATTTTTGTTGGTTTTGGCACTTTGAAACTAATCTTTTCTTGATCTAGTGAAATGCAGGTCACCTGCAGCCTTATGAACAACACGATTTTGTGTGCATTTTGGCGTTTTTGGTTATAAAGTTCACACAGACATGCACACACGTTAGGCGAAAATTCTACCTTTTCTCTTAAATAATTATTTACTGAGGTTAGATTGATTTCATTTCCAATCTGACCATGAAGACATTGAAATTACATGAAAAATTGGGATTGAATCATTTTCTATAACTTATTTATTCTCACTGGGGTATGGCCTTATAAATGCAGAATTCATTTGCCATATCTTGAGTGAAGCAGTAACACTGGCATCGGTAGCATTGTTGAACAGAAACAATCTAGCAGCTCCATAGATTGCTTTTGTAGGATAAACCCGAGATGCAATGCATGTTCTCCCACCTTGAGCAAAGCTTTCGACAATAGAATGATCCACCTGAACAATTATAGACATTCAAATTTGCTGAGCAACAATTCTGTTCACCTTGGAAAATGTATCTTTAAATTGCGAGTCAAATAAGAAAAAAAAAAGAGAGGTTGAATTGAACTCAACTCACCAATATTCTCAATGATAATTTTTCGCCTTCTAGTACTGGTACATAGCTCCCGTAAATTGGTTTATTAACATCCGTTGCCTCTGATGATCTGCAACATTAATATGTGAAGGATTATAACACGATTAATCAAATCTCATTTAGCTATATCGTAAAACTGGCTTGATTTTCTCTTGTATGTACCTTGATTGATCAGTGCAAAAGTGAGTAGTGAGTTTGCCACCATTTCCTTTAACAATGTAGAAGTATACAGGAGTCTGCTCAGAAAGCGCCTCATCTGCAAGAACAGAAACCCCAAATGGTCCTAAAGCACCACGTTTCACTGATCCACCACTGCTACTGCAGCTGAATGTCACATTGCTCTCTGGAGCTTTGTCTAATGCTTCCTTATCTACCTCAAACTCTGCTTCTATATCCAACTGATTCATTCCCAAATATCAACTCGTAAGCTAACCAAGCTTCTCAAAGTAATGATTTTATCAATTAGCTGGTGTTTAATAGAAAGAACTGTGATACCTGCGTGGCTGAGCCAACATCAAGCTTCATAACCGATCCAGCCTTGACCTGCACCTTGTCAAACTCATTGCTGCGCAGCCTCAAGCTCTCTACCTCTTGCACTGGCCATTGAAGTAAATGAGTACCAGTCTTGTTGTCAAACAGAATAGTCCTTGGGATGCTCTGTAAAGTAGAATTTCATAAAATGTAAAAAGGAATGTTACTTGAAATATTGTTATATTTTTCCATTGACAAGATATAAACAGGGAATGCAATATACCTGAATGGATGCCCATCCCTTCTTCACATCTGCAAATTCACTATCAGACTCTCCGATCCAACCCCACAGAATTCTCCTACTCTTGTCCTGGTCGTAGAACGTTTTGGAGGCATAGAAAACTCCATAATCATATCTGATTCCAATTCCAACATCAATCTCAGGATTATCAGGAACCCATGTGCTATTCTTGTCATGGTAAGTCCCAATAGCGTAATAATCATGCCTGTCATCATCTAAACTAGCTTTGACCACATGCTTCACTTCAGGACCATTAATGGATGTGTCCAGGCCACAGTCTTCCGCCTTTGACACAGGATAAAAGTCCACACACTCCCACATACCTGTACCAGGAACACCATGAAACAACCCATCTAGCAGCTCGTAAGTTTTAAAGTCCTTAGTATCATACACTAAAGCTATGCCAGTTCTATTGATTTTAGACCCTATGATGATTCGCCACTTCCCCTCAGAAGTTAACCAGGCGGTTGTTGGGTCACGGAAATCCTTATGATGAATGCCTGGTGGTGGAACTAGAACTGGGTTACCAGAGTATTTGATCCATTTGATGAGGAGAGGATCAGAAGGGTCTGCCGGATAGGCAAGATTTTGAACCTGTACAGATTCATTGGTGGCTCCAGTGTATAGCATGACAATTTTACCATCAGGGAGGATGGTGGCAGAGCCTGTCCAGACGCCATTGAAATCATACCACTGATCAGGAACCATTGCCAGAGGCAAGTGAAGCCAATGGATCAAGTCCCTTGACACAGCATGACCCCAGACAATGTCTCCCCATATTGCACCATTTGGATTGTACTGATAGAAGAAATGATACCATCCCTTGTAAAACAATGGACCTGTAATTTCAAAACACATGACTAATTATAAAAAAACACAACCTAGCTATTTTACACATAACATCCTTTTGGAGGAACTGGACAAAAATTACACTTTGAATTTCTCTAACTAATTAAAAAACTGTCTTCCTTTTTGTAAATCATTAAAGTTCTTAGCTTTCTTACAGATCTCATGAAAAGAAGTTACAACAAAGACCTAAATGATTGGACGATCGGCCTTGTGCACATGACAATGTTCAGTGATGCACAAGTTTTCGTAAATGAAAAAACTGTAGAGGAATGTTCGTCGTATTTAACAGGTTCATCTTTATTGAGCAGCACCATAATAAAAGAAACGGAAAAAGATGTACAAAGTTATCTTACCGTTAGGATCTGAAGCAGAGCCAACCAGATTCCAATCACCATGGATAATAAATCAGAAGAATCCGACCATAAGAAAAGGAAAGAAGAAAAAAAAATTAGCATATTGAATTGAAAATTGATAATCGAAATTATTCCTCTCTTCTTATCAAAATTACGTCCATTGACTTTTATACTTGTCATTTTTGTACTGTACACATAATACACAACCATTATTGAAAAGTCTCATTTTCTGTTCACATATTATGTGCAAGCATTTCAATAAATACCCATATAATTATTTTGAGGCAGAAAGAAGAAGAATAAATGTATAAATTATACAAAATCTTTGTTTAATGGGAGAAAAAATCTTGGGCATTAATGTGGAAAGAAATCTTGGGCATTAATGAAGAAAAAAAATATTGCTTTTCAATCCTCACAAAGCTGCGGCACTTTTTGATTAAAAGAAAAAAAAAATAAAAAAGAGGGAAGCTGCGGCATTTTTGAGAACAACGAAGAAGTTAGGAAACGAAGGGAAGAATCAAAGATGTTAATTACCATTCATCCAATTCTTCTCCGGTTGGAAATGGAAAGCTGTTCTCTGCCATGAAAGCATGCTATTGTTCCAAGGAAATGACCGCAAGCGCCCAACATCAGCAAAATGGCCGTTCGCCTTCTCGGAGACTCCGGCCACCGGACCTCGTGACACAGGGCGCACAATTTCCGGCTGCCCTGAAGAGGCAGCCAATGACCCGCTTTCATTTCCATGAACTTGGACATTGTCTGATCCCCTGTACCCGATCAAAACCACAATCAAATCAAGAGCCAAAAGGCCAGAAACGACGGCGAGACAAAGGCAAATGGACCTCCGACGGGTAACCGGAGACCCAATTGGGTTGGCCTCACCGGGAAGGGGAGTATAGCCGGGATTGGAGACGGGAAGAAATGGGTTTGGATCCACCATTGGATAAAATCAAAAGAAAAAATTAAAAAAAAAAAAAAAAAAGAGGCCTGAGTATACGTTATAAGAAACAGAACCGAAAGGAGTTCCAGGTTTCAGCTTCTGATCCCTATATATGCGGAAGCGGGACAGGCGAAGTTTGAGCCGTGCTGGACTCTTTCGCTGATTGGCTGGAAGGAAAGAGAAATTTCTTCCTGTAAGAACAAAACTATTTGACTAGAACTGCTGTGGTTGAATTGGTGGTCATAGACTAATCCTCTTTCGCATGATAACGTAGACCCTTTTTTCATATTTGAGATCTGTTCAAAAATAATATTTTTTAATGAAATGGTATCGAAATAATTTATTAATAAAATTTTATATTTATTTTTAATTAATATTATTTAAATAAAATTTTATTTAATATATATTATAATTATCTTTTAAAATAAAATTAAAATAAATACATTAAATAATATTTTAAAAAAAAAGATAACTAGATTTAAATGTTCTAAATAAAAAATTAAATCATTTAAAATTGAATAGAGAGAGCAATCACTTTTTTATGTTTTTAAAAAAGATAAATTTCTTTTTATATTATCTCTTATCTTTAATTTTGTATGATTAAATACCCAGTTTGATCTCTCAACTTTTATTTTTGAACCAAATTTATCTTTAAACTTTCAAAAATGCCAAAAATATCTTCAAATTTTAATTTTTTATACTGATTTAATCATTTTGTCAATTAAGTGTTGATATGGCAAAATTCTTCGTTAAAAATGTCATTGTTTTATTTTTAATATTACAAAGAAGTGCCACATAGATTAAAATGAAATGGTAATAAGATCCACATCATTTTAATAGTTAATTATACAAAATGAAATTCATTAAAATCAATTAGTTAATAAATTAAAGAAAAAAAGGGAAAATGATAGTCTTCTTTCCCTTTCTCTTTCTCTCTCCCTTTCCTTCCTCTTCCCCTACCTTTGTGAACCCTAGTTACAAGCCTAGATGCCAATAATTGATTCACAAACAAACAATTATCAAAACACCATAATGAAATAACCCAGAAACAAATTCCAAAAGAAGAAAAATAAATTTACAAAAATTGAAACTTTCTTTGAGCACCATAGAATCCAATTACAGGAGCCAAAAATTCTCTAGAAACTCATAAAAATCACACAAATTCATATCAAATTCAAACTTCACTGATAACAACTACCAAAATTTCCAAGAAACAATTTCAATCTTCAACTCTCCTGATCAAAACAACAAAAATTGCACAAATCAAAACTATTTTGCATACCTAACATGTCAATCAACCTCTAACATCTCAACCAATTTTTACCCTTGCTGGTTCTTCATCATCATCGTCAAACAACAAAACTCACAAAAGAACATAATTTTTTTTAAAATTTTTTGTCCTTGGATTGTTTCGAACCCAGCAACACCATTTCTTTCTCCTTCCTCTTCCTTGCCTTGCCTTCTTCATCAATCAATTCTTCATCTTCATCAATCATCAAACAACAAAACCCAATAAAAAAAACAGATTTTTTTTGTTTGCCCTTGGGTTCGATGGAACCTGGCGCTTGGGTTCCATTGAACCCAATAATTGGATTCAAAGAAACCCAGCAACACCCTTTCTTTCTCCTTCCTCTTCCTTGCCTTGCCTTCTTCATCAATCATCAAACAACAAAACCCAAAAAAAAAAAAATAAAAAATAAAAAATTTTTGCCCTTGGGTTCCAAGGAACCCAGCTTCTAGGTTCGAAGGGCTGGGTTCCAAGGGGAAAGAGAAGGAAAAAGGGAAAAAAAATTTAAGTTTTATTTTTCATAACAATATTATTTTATATTATTATTTTTTTCATGTCATCATTTTTT